CTATTATTGTTTATGTTTTATTAAATAATTGGTAAACAATTTGTTGCTGGTTTGAAAATAATGTGTATATAGGCAACATTTGTTCATTTCTCAGGTAATGTTTAATTACTTGTAAAGAAGGGCCACTTTCACTTCAAGTCTACCTCAGAATTTAAAAAAAAATGCATCATAATGGGCGTGGAGCTCCGCAATCAGAGGCAGGAGTCGGCGTGGCGAGCAGAGCAGGGGAGAAGGAGGGGAGCGAAGTTCAGCGAACTAATGTCAGTCGTCTCACAAAATGAGACACAAACCCATTTATAGTTTACAAAGTTAAAATGCAAAAAAAATAAACAGTCATTTAATACCCTTCTACATTTGTTATTCGTCATTTCATACACACACAACCACAATTCATACATTATTAAAGATAATCGTGTTTATATAAACACTAAAAGAGGACTTTTCCCTCAACCCCCGGGTTTGAATCATAGGTAGACTCAGTGCAGCAGGTCTCTTGCCCTGTCTATTTTAACCATTAGCCCTGCTGGTAGTCTGGAGTATTTAGGGAAACACAACAGCACGGCGATGTATCTAAATGTGAACGAACTCTTGATAAAAGACAACGTCCACCATCCTCCAATTCTCCTACTGCTCTCCCGACAAAATGTTTGTGCTGCACACAAACAGCCTTGCTGAATCGGCCCTGAGAGCATCGTGGGGAAAAACAAGCAACAAATCCTGTGGATCATGGAAGCAAACACATACGACCCTTCATAAACAGCTAAATACTGTGTGCCGTGGGTCCGTGGACGCGGTCTAACTCATCAACGTAGGATGTCACAGCTTGGCACTGGCAGGTCTGCCTTGCCTTCGGAAAGCACGAGCAGTCATGAATAATTAAGCAGCCGGCTCTTCTCATAGGATAAGAAAACCCCACTATGAATAATAATGAAAAACCGACGCGTCATCTTTGCACTTGCAGTTTTGCGCTACGTCGCTGATTTTGATCCCGCCCCAAAAATCATTTTAAACCCGGAAGCTAAAATTAGCTGACAGAAGCTCTAAATTATCCAGTTTCTCCACAATTAAAGCTGACAAGAGCTAACATTTTCTTAACTGAGGCTTAACACACACAAATCTGTTAAAATCTCAAATTTAATGGAGCTAATAACTAATAAAGTCAATAAAGTTTTTTATTATGTATTATCATTGTATTTTTAACGCGATAACATCTTAAAGATATATATATATATTTCCAAGTGTTGTCATAACTTCATTGCATACAAAACATTTAATAATGAGACCTCATTTTATAAATAATAAATATTGTTCTTCAAAATATTTTGGCAATGTAATTAGTTTGCAATTTACTTAATTAGCTTACAATAATGCACAAAAATGTCACTTTTTGTTCTCCCCCAGCACTCGTGTTTACAAATCTTTTTTTTTTTTAATCCTGTTGACAAAATGGGGTCATCATTTTTGACAGTATTGTTGTAATGGAATTAACACGTTGTCAATTTGTAACACTGAGTATTGTAGACATAGGCTATATTCATTAAATTCATAATGGTCTGCATTCCTCAACCAATATTTCATATTAACTTTACATTAGTTAAGGTTAGCTAAGCTAATTGCATAGTCTGTTAGTGAGCTATAGTATCGTGTAGGAAACAAAAACTTCCATAATAAATTAAGATAACCGAGTGAGTTTTCTGGAATAAGATAAACTCTTGGTTCAATAAATTTCAACAAATGAGATACGGCGTTTATGAAAGAATATTTATCTTACCGTCATGAGGTGAAAGGATTTGCTTCAAGCGGTGACGTCGTTGTCTGCTAATTGAAATTCCGGTAGTAAACAGCGTGTGGCGCACTTAGCATTTAGATTTGTTTCAGAACAAAAATCTTATTTGGATTAGTTTATAACATATTTAAGGCAAAAAATAATGGACAGCATCGCTTTGTGGCAGCAGCACCACCATAATATATGCACCTAGTATAATTTCAAAGAAAGAACCGTCCAAGTATGCTTATGGTCGCTTATGGGAGAACCAAGACCCCCCAGCACCCCATCAATTTGAACGTTGATTTTGAACAGCTCCTTAAACAATACTAATAAGGGAAATAATAATAATAATAATAACAGTATTGAAAAGGTCGTCAAATGTTACTAATCAACGGAAAACAACACTGACAAAAAAATTATTCAGAGATGATTCCTTGGATTTACTACTTTTTTTTTGATTGCTTAATATATTACTATGGCATGTGAAATGCAACTTATTTATTATGCTGCTATGCCAGTTGCTTATCTATACACAGACTCTGACACTGTATATTATGCTGGATTAATTATGGTTATTTTTTGTGTTTGGTAAAACATTAAACATTAAATGCATGTCTATTTCACACAACCACTTCACACAATTACAATGCAATAGGATAAACAATGTATATTTTGTTGGAAAAGACCAGAGTGGCAGAAAAAAATATCACACAACACATAATGAGCTGAAACAAGCCGTTGTGTTTAGTCTTTTCTGTGTTTCTGGAAGCTCATAAAGAGCAAACACAGCTGTGCATCTACTCAGTTCTTCTCAGCTCCACTTCAGTCAAGGTAAGTTTGCATGAGCTACTTGTTATTTTGAACAAAACACGATCGTTTTTGCAGTTTAACTTTGCACTTTTAAAAGGAAGAGCTGGTAGAGAATATAAAATGAGTTTTACATTCTGACAAGCACAATTCTGTATTAGCCTAAATATAACAATATAGCACAATAACATATATCTGAAGAATAATTCTGAGAAAACCGTTTGGCTGCAGGTCATGTTCGTTTTATAAGAGCTATATTCTCCTTAAAATTTTAATTATGCAGTAAACTAAAAGAGATTTACAGTACAGTTATGAGAATACATTCCTTTTTGGCGACACAGTGGCTCAGTAGGTAGTGCTGTCACCTTACAGCAAGAAGGTTGCTGGTTTGAGCCTCAGCTGGGTCAGTTGGCGTTTCTGTGTGGAGTTTGCATGTTCTTCCTGCATTTGCGTGGGTTTCCTCTGGGTGCTCCGGTTTCCCCCACAGCTCAAAGACATGTGGTACAGGTGAATTGGGTAGGCTAAATTGTCCGTAGTGTATGAGTGCATATGGATGTTTCCCATGGATTGCAGCTGGAAGGGCATCCGCTGCTTAAAACATATGCTGGATAAGTTAGCGGTTCATTCCACTGTCGCGACCCCAGATTAATAAGGGGGCTAAGCCGAAAAGAAAATCAATTCAGCATATGCATATTAAGCGGATGCCCTTCCAGCCACAACCCATCACTGGGAAACACCCATACACCCATACACTCTCATTCACACACATACATTACGGCAAATTTAGCCATCCAATTCACCTGTACTGGATGTCTTTGGACTGTGGAGGAAACCAGAGCACCGGGAGGAATGCCATGCCAACACTGGGAGAACATCCAAAACATCCAAACAGAAATGCCAACTGACCCTGCCGGCGCTCTTACCAGTGAGCGATTGTGCTACCCACTGCACCACCCTGATGCCCACAAAAATACTACTACTACTAATAATAGTAATAATAATAACACTATTGTTATTATTATTAATTTTTTTTTATTATTAATAGCAACATATAACTGAAATAACATATTTAATTGGACCTAAAATGTTCAAAATAAATGCAATCATACCAATTTTCATAATGTTTTTTTTTTAACAAACAAAAGGATAATAGTAACATTTAACAGTTTAAAATCACAAATTTGGGGTGTTCCAGCCATGACATAATAGTCTTGTAATGTTCATTCATTTTCTTGTCGGCTTAGTCCCTTTATTATTCTGGGGTCGCCACAGCAGAATGAACCGCCAACTTATCCAGCAAGTTTTTACGCAGCGGATGCCCTTCCAGTTGCAACCCATCGCTGGGAAACATCCACACACACACACACACACACACACACACTAATCTACAGACTATTTAGCCTACCGAATTCACCTGTCTTTGGACTGTGGGGGAAACCGGAGTACCCGGAGGAAACCCACGGGAACGCAGGGAGAACAAGCAAACTCCACACAGAAACGCCAACTGAGCCGAGGATCGAACCAGCGACCTTCTTGCTGTAAGGCGAACGTGCTACCCACTGCGCCACTGCGTCGCCCCTTGTAATATGTATAATGTCTATATGTATTATTTACACTTACACCTTGATAATCATGTTAAAAATAAGGTTGAATGTTCTGTGTGAATATACGCTTTGTTTGAACACTCATTAAACTGGCCTGTTCTGCAGATGACATTTTTCTCAGATTAATCACTAAAGTCATGTGGTGAGCAAACAGTTGAGCAAAGCCTCAGTTTGACATCATCATCATAACACGAGCTCATTAATCATTTCATTACATTACTCTTTCAAAAAGACGGCAACACCAAAGCTCCAATAAAAATTACCAATGTATTAAATCAAAAGGCTGCAGCAAGGTGTGTAACGTTTCAAGCACACCGTCTCTTTCTTTACACTTTTGTCTCTTTTTTTACACTTTTCTTACACATTTGGGTGTATGGCCATAAAAATTAAAATGCGCTACATAAATATACATTACAACATATTATCTTAAAAACAAAACAATAGAAAAAAAGCATGGAGTAAACAAAAACAAAGACTGTGTATTTATGCACCATCAAATGTGGTTATAATGGAAGTCAATGCGGCAAAACCAGCCACCAACAGTAAATTAAGGAGAAAAACTGAAAATCTAACAATGCATCAAAGACAATGTTGTTACTAATCTTCACATGTACAAGACTGTGATAAAAGGGAAAAAAATCCAGCCCACAAACACTTTTTATATTTTGAAAATACGTCATTTTGTGTGCATTTTTTCATCAAATCAGTGACATTACTTGTGAATTTGACAATTAAAGACTTAAAATTTTGTAATTTTTTAAACAATTTAGTGGTTTTGATCAGGATTGAGGTTGATTAACAGATGTAGGGGCACACCTTTCGTGCAAATCTTTATGTACCACCTTTTACAGCTTCTATTCCAACAACCAGTGTTTGCAAAAACGCGAGTAAAACCAAATCTCCTTTTAAAAAAGGTTTACTGAAGAAATGCAGGTAAAAAGTTACAATAGACTCGATGAGCTCGGTCAAAAAACTGTGTTGCTTCCAACATCCATAACTGCAATCTGCCTTAAACGTATGAACTAATGACCTCATGACGTATTACTGTCGGAAGCCAAAATACCAAAGTAAAGGTTTTTAAATTGTATCAATTATTCAATTATGCATTTTAGATAACACAATCACAATGAATTTATGTTATATTTGAATATCAATTTTGATCATGTTTTAACCTCTTAAACTAAATTATTATCACAAATGAATTATGCATAACTGGCTCTTACAACAGATTTGTATAAAAACTGCAGTTTAATTTAGTGGATGTTTTTATCGCAAACATAACAAAAGGGTAATACATTTGAAGAGTGCACAAGGGTTAAATGACTTTTTAAAAAATGTACCTGTTCAGTTTGGCTTATAAATATTATAATATGTTTGTCTATTGCTTTATTTCTAAATGCATTCTGTGTTTTCTCTTGGTTTTATTTCTCTGTTTTTTTTTTTTATAAATGTTCTCTATGTTTTACTAACTATTATTCTGTACAGCACTTTGGTCAGCCGTGTGGCTGTTTTAAAATGTGCTCTATAAATAAATGAACTTAAACTATTGACCTCGCAGGAAGCCGATTTCCACATTTAAGATTACAAAATAAGCTCTAAACAAAATGATTTGACAAAAAAAGGAATGACAGCAAATGTTTTTGTTACTTTTATTTTTATAAATTACTCAAGTTTTTTTTGTTATACAATGTTTAACATATTTTTGTCAATCTGATTGATCAGTTCAGATGACTGGAAAAGTTCAATTGATTGTGCTAAATGTGAACTAAATATAACAGAATATTTTTAGTCAATTTGACAGTTTTTTTTTTTTGCAAGAAACATCTCATAAATGCATTTGGGACACATAATCAATTCAATTCAATTCAATTTAACTTAATTTTTATAGCACTTTTACAATGTAGATTGTGTCAAAGCAGCTTCACTGGATCAGGGTAGTTCAGTTTTTAGTGTTTAAGTTCAGTTCAGTTTAGCTCAGTTCAGTGTGGTTTGAAATCATTCATCGATGAGTAGCTTTTCAGAACCTGAGCCATGCAAGCCAGTGGCGACAGCGGAGAGGGAAAAAAACTTTCACCAATAGGAGAGTGAAGAAAAAAAACCTTGAGAGAAACCAGATTCAGTTGGGCACGACCATTTTAATTTCTCCACTGGCCAAAAGTCTTGTGCAGAGCTGCAGTCTCAGCAGTGGACTGGAAGCTGGCCTCAGCCCAGGATACATCATCAGTGATGTATCCTGGGATCATTGGGTGTTTCCGGTCTCTCAACATCATACACTCTCACCCAGGTGACCCAGCCGGGGTTGATCAAGTCCTGAATTGTGTCCCAACAGCAGTCCACGGATCTGCCCTCTTAATCCATAGCCATCTTGTGGCCTTCTCTGCGGCTCTGCGGCCACGCCTGTAATGCCAAATCAATTTATTTGACAAAAAAGTTCACTTGATTGTGATAAATGTGATCTAAATCGTTTTAAAAAACAAGATTTCTTTACAGTGTAACAAATATGGAATATAAATGAACATAATTTGAATAAAAATATTATATAATTCATATAATAAAGTCTATGGTATCCAAAACAGTGTGATTACCAGCATTCCTTATTATTTTTTATATACAAAGTTTAACAATATTTTTTGCGAATTTAAGTTATGTAAAGGGCGACACATGGCTCAGTGGTTTGTACTGTCGCCTCACAGCAAGAAGTTTGCTGGTTCGAATCTGGGTCAGTTGGCATTTCTGTGAGGAGTTTGCATGTTCTCCCTGTGTTGGTGTGGGTTTCCTCTGGGTGCTCCGGTTAAATGGATTGTAGTGTATGTGTGTGTGTGTGTGTGTGTGTGTGAATGTGAGAGTGTATATGTGTTTCCCTGTACAGGGTTGTAGCTGGAAGGGCATCCGCTGTGTAAAACATATGCTGGAATAGTTGGCGGTTCATTCAGCTGTGGTGACCCCTGATGAATAAAGGGACTAAGCCGAATGAATGAATGATTACAAAGTACACACAATGTTTGTTGACAGTTTTCTCTCTTTGCTCAACAGAATGATGAAGGTTCTGCTGTTGGCTCTTGTTCTCGCTCTTGTGTTTGCTGATGGTGGGTTTGCATGTTGAAAGCCAAACTGCAGGTTTCAGTATTACAGCAAACAAGCCTTATCAGAAGACTTTGTTTGTGCAAAACAATAAACTGATGTAAAATATTAATTGCGATGATTCACAATCAGATAACTGTTGCAGGCTCTGCCCTGAAATGCTACAACTGCGTCCCGAGCGTCCCCGGAGGATCCTGTGTGACCAAAGAGGAGACGTGTGGATATAAGAAAGATACTTGTGTGTCTGCCAGATTCACCAGTCCTCCCTGTGAGTTTCATATTAATGACTCTGCAAGGTGTTTGCTTTGTACACAGGGCCGGAGTGGGGCTCCTTTTTAGCTCTGGAGTTTCAAGCCTTAAACCTGCGGGCTGCATTTTGCTCACGGGGCTGTGAAAAAATAAATAAAAAGAGCGAAGCTGCGGCAAAATAATGAATAAAAAGAGTGAGGCTATGGTCAAATTAACAAATACATGAAAAAAGTGCAACTGCACAGTGTGCAAGCAGCTAGGGACACCGGCCCTTGCGGCCAAAAAACGTACCGGCCCACCGGGAATTCTCCCAGTTCTCCCCAAAAGCCAATCCAGGCCTGGGTGTACATATGACATTTTCTGCACATCTAAAGATATAAATCCAGTTTCCCCCTCAGTCCAAAGACATGCGGAACAGGTGAATTGGAATTAACTAAAACTGGCAGTAGTGTATGAGTGTGTGTGTGTGTGTGTGTGTGTGTGTGTGTGTGTGAATGTGAGAGTGTATGTGTGAATGTGAGAGTGTATGTATGTTTCCCAGTATAGGTGGAAGGGCTTCCACTCCGTTAAACATATATGCTGGAATAGTTGGCGGTTTATTCCGCTGTGGTGACCGCTGATAATCACGGTCTACGCCAAATGAAAATGAATGAACATGACTTTGTTTCAGATTTGAAGACATTGGCACTGTACGACCAACATTACACCTGATAAAAACATTCATGGTTTCAGTAATTTCACTTGTATGTACCGTAAAAAGAAGTTGCCAAAAATAAGTTGAATCAAATTAACTATATCATGTCAACTTATTAAACACCTATTAAACACACAGATTCCTTTGTATAATTAGCACTTCTTGTGTGTATTGCCTCCTCTTGTTGAATTGCTGAGTGCCCCTACTAAAAAAAAACAGCTTTAACCAGCTGGTGGGCTGATTTTAGCTGGCCATTCAGGCTGGTTTTAGAGGGGTTCTGGCCCCTTTCAGGCTGGTTTCCAGCCATTTCCAGCCTGGTCTTAGCTGGTTCGGTACACTTGAGTAGTTACAGGAGTCCAGTCATGATGAGGGGTTATAAAATTGCAATATATAAAGTTGAGCCACGGTCAGTTAAAAACATTTCAAAACAGTTTTGATGTAACACGCTCACAACAGTAGATTGTTGCGATATTTCTATCTTCCCTTTATTCAGGATTAGAGTGAGGATGAAGTGTTTTAAAGGAACAGTTCACCAAAAAATGGAAATCTATTAATTTACTCACACTTGAGTGGCTACAAACCTTTATGTTTCTTTACTATGTTAAACACAAAAGATGTTATTTTGAAGAATGTTAGGAACAGGTAACTATTGACTTCTATAGAAGAAAAAAACTAATGGAAGTCAATGGTTACCGGTTACCAGCATTTTGCAAAATATCTTGATTTGTATTATTTTTTTTATTTGATTTATTTATTTTCAAACAAAAATATCATACATAAAATATCATTAACAAAAATAAAAACATTTCAACATGGTCAAAAATGGAGCGGGATGAAGCAAAAGCTTATTATTCTCCCACCCCATTACCACATACATCATTTGCTTATTACTTAAACTTATTTATTCTTTTACCTATCTCTTCTTTTTACATGACACATATTTGATCCTTTTGGCATCTTTGACAAATAATTAGTTTGATTCCATTTGTACCTTTTCATTTTTTAACATAGAGCCAAAGAAATAAAAGAGAAAAAAATACATAGTACTTCAAAATAGAAAAAGGAAACAACAACAACAACAACAACAACAACATACAGCAAATAGCCATTAATTAAATTTTCATCATACCTTTCTCCTTTTAACCTTTTCAATCACCTTCATCATTATATTCCTTTATTAATATATATTTATACAGTTTTTTAAATTGATTAATATCCTGACGTTGTTTTAGAGTCTGATCTAGACTGTTCCATAGTTTTACACCACGTACAGACATACACAAACTTTTTAAAGTTGTTCTTGTTTTCAACCTCCTAAAATTTAGTTCTTCTCTCAGGTTATATCCCCCTTGTCGTTCTTCAAAAAACTTTTGTAGACATTTCAGAAGTAGTTTATTCCTAGCTTTAAACATAAATTGTGCTGTTTTAAACTTAACCAACTCATTGAACTTAAGTATCTTTAATTTAAATAATAAAGGATTTGTATGCGCTAAATACCCGACATGTTCTATTAGTCGAATTACTTTTTTCTGCATTGTACATATGGAGCGTAAATTAGATTTATATGTATTCCCCCAAATTTCAACACAATAACTCATGTATGGCAACATAGGTGTGTTATATAATATATACATTGATTTATTGTCCAGGATAAATCTTGCTGTACACACTATTGCTACAGTTTTCACTAATTTTGATATCACATTATTTATTTGCGGTTTCCAACTACTTTTATGATCCAATACAACACCAAGAAACTTAATTGCATACACTCTATCTATAACTTCATTATCAATTTGTAAATCTATATTATAACTACTTTTTAATTTCCCAAATAACATAAGCAGAAAGAAAGAAACTCACACCAGTTCAGTACAAGTGAACGGTGAGTAAATAATGACCTTTATTGCTAAAACTGTGCAAATCTGTTCAAAAGAAACATTTTGAATCAGCATCATGCAATTCTTGCTTGAAATACACCCTAAGGATTTACACAAATACAAAGAGTTAGTGAGGTATTTGTTCTTTGAAATGCATTAATATAAACAAGTGCACTAATTCACTGTAATTTCCTTTGACTTTCCTTTAGTTGGCTACTTCCGGAGATGCATTAGCATGGCGGATTGCATGATTCTTCAGTCCAGTACCTCGATTAAGGCCAAGTGCTGTCAGACTGACCTGTGCAATACACCCATCATTTAAAATTAAATACAAAAATTATGCAAACTGGTGGAATTTAAAGGAAATGTTCACCCAAAAACTAAAAATTCTGTCATCATTTACTCACCCTTCACTTATTCCAAACTAGTTTGAGTTTTGTTTTAAAGAGCCCATATTATACATGAAATAGGGTCATATCCTGGTTGTAAGGGTCTCCAACAACAGTCTAATATGCATGCAAGGTCAAAAAACACCTTCATGGTCTTATAATCTGCATTTATTTTTACCTAATTATCCCAGCGACTCCCGTATGAATCGTCCAGTGATTCATTTGTTCCCAAACCCCTCCTTAGCGCAAAGCTAATCTGCGCTGATTGGACCGATGACAGTCTGTCACGATTGGTCGACTGCCTTCAGTCAGAGAATGAAATGCCCAACAGCTAATCAGCAATATAAAAGTAATCACAGTTCATACACGCTCGATAGTGTAGGCGTGGATTTTAGCTGCCACACACACACAAACACACACACACCTCTGGACGACAACGCTCCCGCTTCCGCCCACACCCGCCAGGTTTTAGCCTGATCCCGACCGCTCCCGCTTATATTTAGAATTTCTTGTCCCGGTGCCCGGCCCGACCCGCCCCGTTTTCTGCCCCGCCGCGCCCGATTCCGCTAAAGAGCGGGGGAGAACAAAACCGAAAAACCGAAAAAAATCACCCAGCTAAACAGTCCAGAGACAGCCAGACAGAGCTCCCTCTCTCTCATACGCGCGCGTGCGCACTAACACATACACACAAGCGCCAAGCAGACACACAGGCAGGCAAAGCTCTCTGTCTCATTCGCATAGCAATATCCACGATATTGCTAGACAGCCCGCTCCTGTCCCAAATTAAACCCGTTACCGACCGCTCCCGCGATTGATTCGGAAATTTATTCCCGCGCCGCAGAAATCTGGCGCGGGGACAGCCGCGGGAATGCAGACCTCTACCACGGAGCTCCGTAAACAAACAGCACGCGTCGCGTTTTTAAAGTGACTTTGCACGTGATAAGAGAATATAGCCAGTTAACCTGATACAGTACACGCGGTTACAAGTAACAAATCACAACTAAATACATTTGCAAGCTAGAGTCAACAAGGCAACTTTAATCGCACGTACTTACACTTGAGAAATGGAGGAAGAAACTCATCCTGACATCCATCAGTAAGTTACTCTTTACTGATCCTTCCTTTAACAAACGCAAATGAAGTATTCTTTGTAGCATGTAGTTTCCAGAAGTTTCCAACTGCTTGGCTATAATGCTGAGGTTTCATCTCTGGGTAGAGAATCGATAATGTCCATCTGCAGTGTGACGTCAATCGACCGGCATGTTTGTGTGCGTGTGTTTGTGGGTGTGTGTGTGTGTGTGTGTCTGGGTTTCTGCGTCAGAGGGCGGGGCCTCAGGTTTGAAATCTCCCGGGTTTGCGCGTGCACGTGAATAACTTGGTTTCGTTCGTACGTCATGGCGAAACACCTAATGAATCGGTATCAAGGCGACTCGTTTGAAGCACTATGAGTCGACTCTTTTATAGATGAATCAACCGTTTTAAACACTGTACACTAACAGATTTAAGCCTTAGCTGGATACTTCACTTCACTTAGAGCTGTGTTACACAATACATGGAGGGGAATTTTCAAAAACCCATAATATGGGCTTTTTAATGTTGAACAGAAATGAAGAAATTTTGAAGAATGTTGGAAAGTGGTAGCTATTGACTTCTATGGCATTTGTTTTTCCTATATGGATGTCATTGGCTGTGTTTTATTCATCAGAATATCTTGTTTTGTCTTCAAAAGAAGGTGTGCATAAATCAACCCAGGCTCATTCCGATTACGTACCCCTATATACATTTCTGGAGATCACCAAATACGTCCCCGGAGGTACATGTTTTGCAGTTTTTGTTTTCGCGAATCCACCAGAGGCCGCTGTGTACACTTTTTGAGATCTCAAAATTCTCTTGCGAGTGCCATTCGCACCTGCTGTTCTCGCGTAAATCCACCAGAGGCCGCTTTCGACTGACTGACTGACCAACCAACCGATATACCCACTCACCCCCTTTCCTAAACCCAACTGATAGTGTTTTATAAAAGCACAAATTGACCAGCGCCTACCCACTTTACTAAACTCAACCAAGTGTTTTAAAAGCAATCCAGAAAAAGAAAAAAAAACAAAAACATTTTCACCATGTTTTCAGATTTTACCACATTCTCACCCTGCTATTTACTCGTTTATTTTATTTTTTGGCTTTCATTTTCTTTCATTTTCATTTTGTTTGCTGGACTCAAACCCCACTGTCACGGTCAACTCCTCTATGCATCTTAAGTACGCTGACGTTCATTGCGAGCCACAGAGCAAACTGTTAACAGAGGGAAAGCCGTCCATAAGGAGGTAAGCGGTCAGCTTTTAAGCCTACAAAGGAACAGCACCATTCTGTCCTGTAGCGTCCATTCTAAAGACAAAATTCAGCCATACGTACTTCTGGCTTCATAATTTGCTCCTCCAGAAATGTATATAGGGCTATGTTGTCAGAATGAGCCTATATTGGCATAGACGATTGTTAAATAAATTCGAATGAGGTTGAACTGATTTTGTGGCCAAATTTCACCACACAAATAAACAGGTTGCATGAATAAAGTGTTGCTTGATTTTGTAAAGGATGTGATTTTGTCATCGCCAATGTTGTTTTTGTGTTTCATCATCTGCGTCTGTTTGTTCATTTGTAGTATAATGAACAAATCATAGATGAAATTTCACTTAATACTGTTATCAGTTTATACAAACAGCAGATTAAAATATGATAACAGAGAAAAGAGTCTTTCATAGCAGAATTGGAAAAACCCAGAACAGAACACAACAATAAGGTTGCACAACCACACGGACCAGAGTAAACCAACAAAAGCGACACTTATATCCTGAACTTCAAGCCAAGAACACACACACACACACACATGTAACAATGTGTGTCATTGTCTGGTTAATTCCAGATTCTTTGGCATAAATTCAATATGGAATTTCCACACATCAAAGACTCCCAGAAATGAGGCAACATTACAGTATATAAAGCACAAACACAGGAGTCTGAGTATTGTTTTCAGATCTGCTTCACAGTCAAGGTGAGTTTACACATTATTATGAGACTTACATCTGTATTTAGTGAAATTGAACACTTTTATTTTTATAATATTCTTATTGACTATAGAGTAATATTGTTCTTCACTTGGTTTAAATCTTCCGATGACGCTGCCGTACTAAGTTTACTATATGACGATATTAGTGTTATGTACAAGTCAGAAATTAGTCAGTTTGTTAATTGAGGTGCTAAAAATAAGCTAAAAGCAAATACTAAAAAAAACAGAAGAGATGGTATTTGACCCAAAATGCATAGGTGATCATCTTCAAGTGGTTGTGCACGACCATCCTTAGTCAGAGCCATTACTCAATCAGATACCTATAAATACTTGGGCACTTACATTGACAGTTCTTTCACATAGAGAGGGTTTGCTCTTGTTTACACCAGAGATTTTATTTCAGTCACACTTTATTTTGATGGTCTGTGTGTTGAATGAAGTTTTTTTTTCATTTTTTTTACAGCACTTCAAGTTAAGCCATTTTAAGAAAAGAAAAACAGTTATATAGATATAATATATATATATATATATATATATATATATATATATA